CAATAAAGAATAGACAGGACAATATACATATACATATATATATGTATATATATATATATATATATATATATACATAGCAGGGGAAACAAACAGAGAAATATTACGAGACGAATAGTGAGTGAAGCTTGTTTCATAAATATATATAGCTTTGTTACTGAGAGCAAACGGTCCGAAGCAGAACTGAAGTTCACGAATGTGGGTATTAAACAGGCATGATATATGAGCTTAGCCGGAATGTTGGTCATCAGGGGTGATTGGACGACAACTTAACTGATTGTGGCAGCATGAAAGATTATAACGGATGACGCGAATCCAATGAGCGATTGACGAATTCACGTGCACCAATAACGAAAGTGATAAGACAACAAACAGAAGCAGCAGCCACAAGTTCAAATCGACGGGTTAAAACAGAACCATTGTTAGGCGCGTAAATATGCATACGGAAAGCGGTAAACGTTTAAAAAGCGAGTGAATATGAACGTAGGCAGCTAGCGATATGGGTGAATTGCTGTTTTGATAACGAACGGCTGGGGGCAAAATAAAAGGCCGATCCATGACATTGCGTTTAGTTAAAAATTTACGACAACTTTACAAGTTATGAGTGAGTGAATGAGTGTACACGAGGGTTTGAATGTGCATTAGGAAAGCTGCCCCGAGATGATTGCGTATGATGATATTTTGATCGGATCGGCCACGGTCTTAAAGACCGTGGAACGGTTAATGTCGTCTACAACCCTACCTGGAGCAGTTCGCTGAGAAGAATGGGATCGTTGCGCAGAAGTTGGTTTGGATAGTCTAACCAGAGGTGAGTGAGCCGCAGTTTGTTTACCTGCTGCAATATGACAATAAAAAAATACAACAAAAGTTATCAAGTGGTAGGTAAAATTAAACCAAAAATCTGTTGACAGGATCGCCAACACCCCGTGAGACTGTGTAACCAAACAATATGCGCATTCTCGATAACCTAGCCCAAAAATAGGTTTCCATTACTGTTTAGTCTGTGCGCGGCGATTTGTAACGAGATAGGTGAACCAGTGTACGATTATTCTGAGGCCAAGAACTAACTCAGTTTCAGTTTCGGTTTGAACAACCATTAACCATGCACTTTCGTGTGCCGGTTTTGGTTGCTGTCTTTTGCTTGTCCAATTGGGATGAAGAATAGGAGAAGAAAATGAAGTCGAACAGAAAATGGAGAAGTTCAGTGGTCTAAGGTTGCAAAGAAATTGAGGAGATGC